CCCCCCCCCCCCACAGTCATTGACACTTGCCTTCCTTCTCTGTTTATAGAATGAAAAAACTAGGTAAATGCAGGGAAGGAAGGCAGAGTTGACAAAATTCTGGAAATCTGGTTCTTCGGTTAGTCACTCTGAGCCTAGTGAGATCTATAAATGCTCCGTAACTCACCCCTTGTTGATATGACCTTTTGGTGACTATAACCATCCCCTCTTCATTTTATGCTCCAGAAGCTTGTGAGACCTCAATGAGTCAGGAAGAATCTTAAATTCAAATCCAAAGAATCCAAAGTGATGACAACAAAAAACAATAATTGATATCTGAACAAAGGTTAGTATTTGACAATGGATAAAGATTGGTATACCTTCCCTTCCTCGGGGCTTTGTTGACATGAATTGTGAACGTCGTCTTCTCTTACCAATTTTCCAGGCCAGGAAGTCAGTCCTTTGATTTGGCCCCAGACCAAGTCGCCAACATTGAACGTCCTTGGTCTATAATGTATCAACTCATTTGAAGAGGGAGAATCTGGATTCCTTAGGTCATCTTCACTACTAATGCTTTTAGCGTCTGAAGGGCTGGGCACACACCCATTAATGCTTTTGGCATTAAAGTCTCCATTGTAATGGATGTAGTCTTTGACCAGAGAACTCTCCAAACTATTTGAGGAACTCGGAGACTGCTCCTCTAGGACTAGGTCTTGCTTTGCAGTGCTTAGCAGCTCTCCAAATCCCCGACTCTGTCGAGGTCTGTTCCCATTAATGTGTGCACATCTTTCCACAGTGTTCTCTAGTCTCTCCTTAAAACTTATCATAGTTCTTTTGTAGTTATTATATTTGAAATTTTCCTCCAGAATTTTATCCCCTTGACAGTTTCTTGGTGGTAACAGTATTGGGTGCTGTTCTCCAGGCAGAAATGGCAGTGTAGAGACATTGTTGGGCCTTTCATGACAAGGACTACCACGGATATGGCCTGGATGATCTAAGAATTCCTCATACTTCCACCTGTTTTGCTCCCCTCTGGGGCTTTGCTCCCCATCCCACTGTTTTTTGGTTGTGTGGAAACTTGCTGACTTGAAATACTCAAACCCATCTCCTTCGTTTGAGTTTTTCCCATGGTCTAGACTCTTGGACAGCCGGGCCCCTCTTGCATTCCTCAGCCCGCCATCATGATCAACACCTCCCATGTTCCGTCCATGAATGACCGCACTGACAGCACTGGAGAGATTTAACGGGTCGCCAATTGAGGCAGTGAAGGCACTCATGGCACTCAGAGCCGGAATAGGGCTGATCTGAGTTGTACTGTTGACAGCAGTGGTGATGACAACCTGCATTCCTTTGCTGGCTGCATCTACAACTGCTTTGTAAATGGCATCTACGGAAGCATCACCGTGGTTACCCATAACAAGACCATCCTTCACCTGCTGACCAAGGGATGGGTCGATCCTTTGTTGCAACTCACACGGTGCATCTTGGAAAGGTGGAAGTGTAGTGTTTGGATTCTCAGGAACTGCTGTCAGCCCCGGTTGAGCGCTTATTCTTTTGTTTAGGAGGGCTGCATCTTCTTGCATTCTCACCTTAAGGAATAGAAAGAAGTAAAAGAGGGGTGGGGAGAGAAATTTTTAAGGCCTCAAAGAGAAATATCATAACTATGAGATTTACCAAATGACAAATAGATCTAACAAGAAAGGGAACATAAAGAACAAAACTCAAAAATGAAAAAAATGAAACTGCACTCCTTATGAAAAATCTCCTCATTATATCTGGGAACTGTTTCTTTGGTTGAACTCATTCAACAGATTTTCTGTTTTAAAAAATTTAATGATTGCTCAACATTTTCTAGAAAAATTGAACTTGAGATAGTTGAACACAAGATGCTTTCAGGTTATGACTTAACAGTGAAATATAAGAGAAAATAAAATAGATTCCTATACGACACTATAGTTTTAAAGACTGTAGATGTGGTAGTAACACCTCCTCCTCAGCCTTACAAGGCTACTGGTGAGTACAGACATCCCCACACTGTCAGAGACGATGGCTCACTGTAGAATTGATTTCCAACTGGGAAGTGGTGAGGGAGGAATGCCTACTAGGGAACATATCAGAATCTCAGTACAGGAGGGATGAATATAGTTTGAAAAATTCTCTGAGGTTATTTTCGTTTTACTAAACTCACCTAAAAATTATTGCTTCAGACCCGTGATACTTTGGATTTATATACCTCAGTAATTACTCCCCCTTTTCTTTATATTAAACGAGAACCTGGGACTCCACAACACATCAGCCTCTCCCTTCCTGTTATCACCTTGTCTATACTTACCAGATAAAATACAAATCTTGGGTTATTCACATGCCTGTCTTATTTGTATTGATAGTGAGGATGCTGAGTATCTTGTAGACAGAAATATATGCTTTCCAACTTCCACTGGGGGCTTGTGGCTTTCCCTTCGATCCCGTGATCTTCTAATTAGGTATCGCTCTCATTCTCCACAGCTATTCAAATCTTTCTCTGCTTTCTTCAAGCTAGTTGTTGTACTATTACCCACAATACTCTTAGTATATGACCATAATTCACAAAGTGAAGCTCATCAGGTAAGACTTCTTATAATTTCATACAGTCTAATGTTCTCTGCTCCTGACAGTACATGTTTCTCTGCAACTATATCTGTCCTAAATCTTGCCTTGCTTCCAGGGGTTAAGAGGGGGCCTCTTTTGCTCTCTGGCTAGGTAGCCTCTGCATTTAGACTCTGGATTCTAAGTCCTCTCTCGGGGAATTTTGCTTCATCTACTATTTCTTTTCTTCTTTACATTCAATCACTTAGAATTTTTTATCTCTTTCCTTTACAGAATAATTATGTGCTTAGCTTCCATACTTTGTTTTTGGAGAAAGAGTCTTACTATGTAGTTCAAGATGACCTTGAACTTACTATGTAGTTCAGGCTGGCCTTGAACTCACTGGGATCCTCTTGTCTCAGCCTCCTGGGTGTTAGGATTACAGGTGTGTGCTACTACTCCTGGCAATGGATTCCATATTTTAAAAGTTTGTGTTTAAACTCATGTTCCCCTTGGAGCATTGCTCTATTTTTTTTATTCTTCAAAGTGAGTTTTAAAAAGAATAATCCACAGCCTTCACATATTGTAATATGGTTCCTGCTATCATCACCGCTCCACCCAAACTACATTCTTCCAAGTCACTCCCAAGTCACGTCCTAATAGCTAAGTACAGTGGATCCTCTTCAATCTTTGTTTTACTTGCATTCTTTTTTTTTTTGGTACCAAGGATTGATTTGGGTACTTGCACTTGCAAGGCAGGCTCCGGAACTACTGAGCTAAATCCCCGGTCTTTTACTTGTATTCTTGGTGATATTATTAAGAACTTCTTCCTCCTTTCTTAATTATTACATAATACATATATATATATATATATATGAATATTATTATCTTTCCTTCTTTTCTTTTATTCCTATATAAATGGAATTGGGCAGGGACAAGGGGAAAAAATGAGAACCAAGACCTGTCATGTAAAGGTACAAGGTCCCAATAATGAATGTAACTGTACTGTATACCTAAAATGTACCAATAAACTCAATTAATAAAAAAATAAAATAAATGGAATTGTACTGTAGTACTTTTCTGACAGTACTACAGTGTTGGAGTCTTATTGTCTTACAGATTTTCCTATATTTGGATTGTATACATCTATTTGATATTTTATGCTACTAGGTTGATAGATATAGCATAATGTATTTAAATATTTCCATACTGATGAACTCTTAAGTGGTTCATAATTTCTGATCCATAAATCATGATGCAATGAACATTTTTGGATGTGATTTTGTGTTCACATTTTTAATGTTACCTTAGACATTTAGACATCGAAGTTGTGGGCCAAAGATTCTGTATATTTAAAAACTTGATTCTACCAAATTACCCTCCAAAAGAATTGAACAAGCATTCATACAGACCAACAATAATCTGGGGGAAACTACTTCCTTATATCCTTGTCAACAGTGGCTGTTACCAATCTCATGATACTGTCACAATCTGTGTAACTTCTAATTGTTCTTCTCATATATTTACTAATAAATTATCTTTGATTTTCTGTGAATTGTGCAATTATATCTACTGGTAATTTCTCTAGTAAATTCTCCTCCTCCTCCTTTCCCCCCACACCCCTTCATCTTTTTCATCTTGTTTGTCTTCTTCTTGTACCTGGGATCGAACTCAGAACCTGTGCTTACAAGGCAGGCAGCAGCACCACCGAGCTAAATCCCTGGTCCCTCCTTTTTTTTCTTGGCTAACAGAAACTTTGTATATTATAGGAATCAATTATTTGGTATGCATTTTGCAAATATTTTCTGCTTGTTTGCATTGTCTTTTACCTTTGTGTAGAATATTCTCGATCATGCAGAGATTTAAAAGTTTTATATTCAATTGTTACTTTTTTCTTTTGACGTTGATTTTGTGTCTTAAAGAATCTCCTCTACCTTAAGATTTTATATATTTTAAAATACTGTATTTTGTTCTTACATTTGTTTAATGTTAGTCTTTCCATCTAATTTTTTAATCTATCAGGAATTTATTCTTTTTGTAGAACTAAAAGAAGGTCATGTGGCTGAAGCCAGAAGGAGAGGGGTTAGGAGCTAAATCTGGAGAATGGAGGTCAGTGGGCAAGTTAAAGGTGTGGGTCTTAATCACAATGCATGAGAAATACAAAAGGATTTGGGGGGAAACATCCAGTTTTAAACTCGCAGCTCCAAAAGGACTATTGCTTCAGACAAAATAAAATCACCTTCCCAGGAAAGACTGGAATATCTAATACTCAACAGTGAGAAATAACAGTAAATAGCTATCAAAGGGTATATTACCTCCTTTTTCACCCCTTTCCTAAAATTAAGTGTCAAAACAAACACAGACATTGTTTTCTACTAAAGTGGCAAAGAAAGGAGAGTACCTGAAAGTTCTGAAACAGACAAGCCATGGGATTGCTGTTAGCGGGACAGGGGACTGAGGGCTGTCCTGGGAAGGCCTGGAGATTCTGGTACCCCTGGAGAAGCTGCTGCTGTTGCTGATTTGGAGGAAACATCTGATTGTTGTTTAACAGCGACTGTAGATGAGCCAGTTGATGGTTATTCAAAGTATTGTTTATTGATGACATATCACCTACAGTTTGAAAAACATAAAATGTAAGTCAATGTGATCCTTCAGAGATCCCATGCCTATCTTCATACCTGAGAATTTCTGAAACAAAAACTAAAACCTAAACTTACATGGGTAATTTCTCTTTGTTCTTCTCAAAGTCTTACTAAGTGGTAAGGAATGAGTAGCTTTATTATTTAGTTTTACCTTCCATAACTAGGTTTTTAAACAATTTCATATCATGTAAAGACTTTTTAGTCATTGCTCTATCCATTAACCAACTGTTACATATTAAGCTTCAGTATTATATAATTCCTTGCCTCTATTTTTATTAGAACACCTACAATCAAAGGTTAAAATTTGTCCTAAAGTATTTTAGCAATCATAAATAATTGACCAGATGATTAGAATGAGTGGGTGTGATTTGGCCTTGTTTAAAAACTTTTATTCTTAAGCCACAATCATCAGTAAATACCTCCAAATAAACTAAGAGATTTAGTTTGGAAATAAACATTTTATGATGGAGTGAAGGTATCTAAAATTGAAATTATAAAGAAAGCTAACAATGCAAAAAATTCAGTCATAAAAATAAATAATATAACATTAATTACTAGCATTAATTGGATTGTATACATCTTAGTTAAGCATTAAAAACTAAATTTATATTTAAAACTCAAAATTGTTTTGAAATTACTGAAATTATTCTGAGAACAATGTCACAGAAATTGTCCTGTAACTTGAAATTTATAAATCTGTAATGCTTTTTAGGCTATTTAACAATGATTTAAAGACCTGATAAAATTAGTTTTGCTATCTTATAAAAGTGTCCATTAAAAGAAAGTGTCCATAAAATGTGGAAATGAATAATTGTAAAACGTTTTTGCATATTGAAGATGTCCATGATACCATCACTGATATTTGTCTATATTTCTAGACTTCATGGATACCATCCCTATACTTTATGTTATAGTTACCTGCATCCATCAGTTAAATTCACTTGACATTGTTTTCTAACTTGTTTGTCATAGGATAATGGACAGGAAGGACTTTACTTTTAAGACACAAAGATCTAAAATAATTATTTCGTGAGGAAATCTAGAAGTATTTAGAGGGACTGTTTCCTTGAAATTAGATAACTTTAGTTTTGAGTGTTTTTAGGGCTTTTTATTTCACTGGCAAAGAGTTTAGTTATGTTTATTTAGGATTTGCTTGGAAAATATTTCCTGAAACTGTTTCCATCCACAGTGCAGCTGCTCATACTAACCCTGTGATGCCACACCAATTAAAATTGAAATAAGTTCTTTTTAAGATGTACCTGTGCTTTACTAATTGAACATAAGACTCTACTTGGCTTAAGAGAATGATGGGTAGGTAAGGTTTAGGTGGCATCAGAATTAGAAGAGAAAGCAGATTAAAATGGTATTTAGTATTGCTAGAATAAAGGAAAGAAAAAAAGTCATTCATGTTTGTACAACTATGGTTGTGTGTGGGTGTTGTTATATTTAGTTCTTTAAGCAAGCTGTGACATAACAAAAACAATTTTAAAAAATAGTGTGATAAAATGGAGTTTTTAAAAAGGAGAAAATAGAATTAGAAAAACGTTCTTATTAAAAAATTTTGTGAAAAAATTTAACTTACCAAGCAGACCTGTCCCCAGTAGAGGGTTAAGTAGCTGTGGCACCACAGAGTTACTGTTGAGTTTAGCTGGACCAGGTGCATTCCCAGCATTATTAGATATATTCAGCAATGTTTCTGCCATTGACACCACTGCTGTCCCACCAAGTGTTGAGACAGTCAGTGCTGCCACTGCTGATGATGTAGTGGTTGTGGTAGTGGTTGCCTGGGAGGTTGTTATGGAAACCTCTGGATGATTAGCAGTGTTGACCGATGCTGAGTTCAGGACACCTCCCAACAGCTGGGGATTCAAGGCCATTAGTCCTGAGGCCCCAGTGACAGCTGGGAGGAATAGGGGGTTAAAAGTAGTGTCACTGCCTGCAAAACTTGGTAAAGGGTTCCCCAAGGGGCTGGTTAAAAGGGTCTCAGCTCGGCTGTTGTCTGACTGATTGCTTGGCAAATGGTCTGGTGAGGCTGTCATCTGTGTTAATGAGGGTAAAGGAGTATTTTGTTGTTGCAAAAGATCTGAGATAGTCAGATTGAGAGATGGCAGGGGGAGCATGGCAGCTGCTTGGGCTTGGTTCTGAAGCAGGGCTGCTAAGAGCTGAAAGTGAACAGGCTGTAATACCTGTCCATCCATGTCACTGGAGAGAAAAGCTAAAGCAGTGTTTACATTTGGATTGAGAAAACCTAAAGGGTGGAAGTTGATCTCAGACTTGCCTTCTCCTGCTGAAGGCTGGAGGATATTTAATAGATTCTGGTTTAGGAGATGCTGTTGATTCACTGGCAAAGAGATAGGTAGAGAACTGAGGAGGCTGGGGTTCAAGGGGTGTGGAAGATGGTTGTTTGAAGTGCTGTTGGATGGAAAATGAAGTGCGTGCTCCTGGCCAACAAAAGGAAAATCACTCCCAATGGGCAGCTGATTCTGCAGGGGGTTTCCAGTTGCAGTGGTGACTATGACTCCATCCTGAAGAACAGATGTTGTCTTTGTGATGGCAGGATGACTGGAGCCAGCTATGGCTACGGAGGAGGATGGGCCTGTACTGCCTAAAACAGGGGGAAAAAGAAATCCAGTTATTATGGATATTAAGCAAGACTCTTCCTAAAATGCATTATGATACATTTCAATGCACAGCATTTATTACATGGCATCTTCATTGACTGGAACTGCATTAATTGTATCAGAGATGATTTGACATCTGTTAACGGAACTTCATTTAATTTGAAAACAAATATATTGAAAGTTCGATATAGTAAGAAATAACTGTTGCTGAGTATCAAACAGGCAAGGAGACCAGTAGAGATATGAGTGGCTGGACATCTGCATAAGTGATGAGGGCAGGATCTGTTGTAGCTCATTCAGCTGGGTAGATAAAAGTAACAAATCTTCATTTTATATTTTCAAAAAGTTTTTGGTCTTTATTTATGAAAGAAGTACCTGCTTTTAATGGTAACAAAACAGAATTTCCACAAACCTAGAATGTACACGAATGTATAAAGCAGAAAATAAAAAGCACCTATGGTGATAACTATTAAGATTTTAGTGTGTAGCTTTCTCAGATGTATGTACATCTATACATTTGCGAATATATATGTACATATACATATGTTTGAAAATAAACAGAATCACAGGAAGTGATAGAACTTTCCAATATTTTATAAGTTTTTTCATTAGTAAATATATTGTGAATGTCTTTCCTTGTTAACTCATATATATTACTAGTGCCTTGTATTGATACACATAATTCAGTCATGAATACTTTCCAAGTTTTTACTATAATAGGCCACAATATGGTAACTATTCTTATTAACATTGTCTGTCATTTTGCCCAATTGCTTTGTAAGGATAAATTCTTGAACATGCAATTCCAGGGATAAAAATGCTTACATATTTTTAAAGCTTTGAATACATATTGTTAAACTACCCTCCTGTGAAAACATCAGTACACAGTTTACATTCCTATAAGTGGTGAATGACAGCGTTCATCTCTCATCAGCACTCTATTTTATCATGATTTTTAAACAATGACTAAAAGTAATAACCTTTGTCATTATGATGTTTTTTACTTATGATTTCTTAAATTAGGTCAGGCTTCATGCAAATGACATTCTTATTCTTGGAAGTCGTACATTAAGGGTGAAAATTCAAAATATTTAATATTTTGAGATATAAAATCTCAGTTGTTATAATTGTATTAGTGGTTCTCAACCAAAGCCACACAGTAGGATTATCTGGAGAAATTAAAAGAACAAAACAAAACTAAACATCAGAATAGATCAATACATGAACTATAACCCAGACCAGTTGAAAATTCATCACTTGATGTGCAGCCTGGGCAGCAGTTATCCTGTGAAATCACCCCTCATGATCCAGAGCTCAAGGGGTGGATGGAGTAGGGAAGATGAAAAGCTCATGCTACTGAAAAGGAAACTACAATCACTTTTTCTTTGTTAAAGAGCTTCCCCTAAAGAGATGCATTCTTTTAGGTAATACATGCATTTTGCCACTATAAGTATACACTTTTACTTTTATTTCAAACTAATAAATTTATATATAGTATAATAAACAATGTCTGCTGTGTCACTAAAAATCTAAAACCGAAACATTTTAATGCTTTTACATTTGACTGTCAGCATTCAAATATGCAGAAATGTTTCCATAGTTGCAATAGTAATACAATTAATTTTATATTCTTGTTTTTACCTAATAGAACACAATATTTCCTTGACAAACTTTGTAAATATATCTTAACAGTGTAGTATATAGACTCACCACATTTATTGAACTATTCTGATAAAGTCTGACATGTGTACTTTGACCTTTCATCATTGTATTAGAGTACAGGGATGAGTATCTTTATGTTATTGCTATCACTGAATTATTTCCTCAGAAAAAAATGTCATCCTTGGCATGATTGTTGTGAGAATAAAAAGTTGTGAGAGTAAAAAGTTGCGGGAATAAAAAGTAATAAGTGAAAGTTTTGTAAGGTGTAAAAGTCTACACAAATAAAAGGAGTTAGCATTATTTTTATCACTGACATTAGTAAGTGGTAACAGAAGTTAAGTGTAATTCAGCATTTTCAACATATCTTACAGTATATTTCCATAGCAAGGATTTGTAATTTTCCCCCATTTGTTATGGTGCCTTTTAAAAAATTCATTAAATTTATTGTTACATTTTAGGTGTAAAATATGCTGACATTCATTATTGGGAATTTGCACCTTTACATAATATATCTTGGTTCTTATTTTTGGTGCCTTTTTGTTTGTAAAGCTCTCAGTGTTTTATTTAAAGAATCAGATTTTTAAAATCTCTTTGAAAATATATAAATATTTATGAAATATTATCATGAAATAATGACTATGTTCACAAAGATTAGGGTAAGAAGACATATCAAATGCTGAAGTAGGCATATTGCATACAATTCTTTAAATATTAATCCAGATTTTTTACAAAACAATCAACACCTTAAATATTTCATTGCTTTTTTAATCTTGCTGCTATTTCCATACATAGGTACTGTACATTATTTGCATTTGGAAACCATCTTTTTAAAAGAGGTAGTAGAAGTCTTACTAGTAATCACTATCAGTGGCATTTTTTTCCTACCTGCTTAATAAAAATGTCATATTTAAATGTAGAGATCTCTGGTCTTCTCACCGTAAACAAAGCACATTTTCACAATACTCTACCATATACATAGCAACACTTTGTAAAGATTTGCTTTAGAGACTAATTGTTTTTATCATCTTTAACTTGCAACATGCTTTGCTCATATTTATGATTCAAGAAGTAGTCATCTAGGGATAACATTATTTTTACAATTCTCCATCTAAATATTCTTGAGGAATTACAATAAAAATGTATAGTTACCCTGGGTGTATTTTTGCTTTATGAACAGGAAAGTGGTGAATATCATAAGCTTTTTAAAGGAAATATGCGGATCAAGATGTGTTTTTTATTTTCCCTAATTTTCAACAAATCAACAAACAGGTATACTTTACTAGACAATAGGATATAAAGTGACATAAATTTAAAAAAAACAAACTCTGTCCTTTCCTGCACAAACTTCCAGTTTGAGCACAGAGATGAAGAAAGATCTTCCTGTCTTTCTTTATCCTATGTAAAATATACATTTACTGAGTTTTAAACTAGGAAAACTTAAAGCTCTTTTCATGTGTTAGCTAGTATAGCTATTATGCAATATGCTAAGAGCTACTACAGTTATATTTAACAAGGGGATAGTTATAAAACTGAAGATGTCAGAGAAAACCACATAAGTAGTAACATTTGATGTTGGATTTGAGAGATGAAAGGATAAAAAGGGCTTCTAAGTAGAAGGATAATGATTTTTTTAAAAATACAAGGAGATAATGAGGAAGATGGAAGGTAACAGAGTCCTGTGTCTCTCCAAAACAAAGTAACATGACTGAATATATGTGTGGCTTTCCCATACCCCAGCTCCCTCTGCCCCTGGTTAAACCAGCTATTTTATATAAATGGTGAAGAAAGCTAAAGTAATCTTTTTAAACTATTAAAGGCAAGATTCATTTCTTATTTTTCTTGTATTTGAAGAGCTAACACAGCCTCTGACACATGGATGGCATTCAGAAAATATTTGTTGGTTGAATGAACCTATTAAAACCATAAAACTTGCACTCAACTTCTAGAAATTAATTTGATACTATGTGTGGGCATGTATGTACAGAAAATGAAAACTGACTTTCTAGTGTATTGGTCCAGTGCCAGGAGAAAAGGAACACTGGCAAGGAGACAAATAGAAGGTAAGTTATCTTAGAGGTCTCCCAGGTACTCCAAGAAGTTAGAATCATCTTACAGAGGGACAGACCCACCCAAAGTACCCTTAGTTCTTGAAGTCATTCATTAATGCTTGAGGGTCATTAAAGAGGAACCTGAATTTGTATGAATTTTTATACCTGGATGGAAATTTGGAGATAGTTTATTTCTGGACCACTTAATCTTGGGTAGACACTATATGGTGAATTTATTTCATAGTTCTGTATAAAATCCTTCTGGTTTGTTGAAGCACATGGAGATGTTTTTAGTTAAGTTTGTCTTGTAACTAAGATGTTATATGTTTAATGAAAGGGGCAGTTGCTAAGGATTTCTTAAAAAGTAAATTATCCATTAAATACTCAGCAGTTATATAACCAAAAGGCAGCTGGAATTCTGGAACAAGTTACTAAGTCAAAATCCTTTAAGTAGAAAAAAAAATGATTATTTTGCACCAGCCACCATGAACTGCCAATGTTTTTTTCTTCTCATTGTCTATGTTGTTTTTAAAAGTAGAAGGGATCCCAGCACTTGGGAGGCTGGGACAGGAGAATTGCTGCAAGTTCCAGGGCAGCCTGGGCTACATAGTGAATTCAAGGACAACCCGAACTACATAGAAAGACTCTGTCTCAAAAAAGCAGCAACAAAAAAAGTAGGAGGGAAAACTAAAATCTACTCAAACTAACTTGGCAGGGGCTGGGTCACATTCCTAGATACCCAGCAATCAACACAGTCTAGTCTCATGAGGAAACAATGGAAGCTGTCTCACAGGGTAGATTTCCAGATACACACAATTTATACCCCTCTATGTGTACACAGCAATACCCATCAGTAAAAATTTTAGTTTTTAAAACACCTATTTTCTAACATTATTAATTTAATTCTTGAGAATGTTTACTTGTTCCAATTTTAGAAATGATTTTCAAAATGAGGTAACGTCTACCTCTTTAGGTTTCTTTTTCTCCTGGTCATAAGCATTCCCTGAGAAAGCAATTGTTCAAAATGTGCCAAACTCTTAGATGCTCGACTCTTAAATATGTACAGAAAAAAAAAGAGCACAAAGCTCATATCAAGCAGATCAATTAAATATTTTAAAATGTTACTACTTTGTTCTATATCTTAATGTTGATTATAGACTATGCTAAGAAACTATTTCTAAACTAGTAAGTCCAAGAACTGATTTTCATCCATAAAATTCATGAACTCAAGAAATGAGTCATATAGAAGGTATTTTTACTTCTAAAATTGCCAT